ACAGCTCCCTGCTGTGTTTCCTGCTGGCAGCACGGCAATTGCATGCCTCGCCTCTGGCGGAGCCGGCCAGCTGCTGCCCAGGGCCGTCCATCACTTGGGCACCGGCGCAGCTCCGGGGGCAGTGGTGGCGCGGAGCCCTGCCAGGGTGGATGCATTACTCTGGGTCTATTCGGGCAAGCTGCCACGGCTATGGGGAGACGAGCAGGCGCCTGGCCCGTCTCTCCCAGGGCTGCCTCTTCCGGGAGGGGAAATGCAGGCCTCCTCCACCTGGGGCTGACAAACACCCCGTGCATGCAGCCGCTCTGCCCTGGGCGGCCGAGGGCAGGGCCGGCGTGCCCACAAGGGCTCCGAGGCGTGCGGCAGTGGCGTGGTGGGAGCTGGCGTGGCTGGGCTGCGCGCCCCACACAGGGAGCGACCACTGCTGGCTGGCAGAGGAGGGTGGGGGCCGTCCAGGCCCCAGCGATCCCAGCATCTCTGGAGAGCCAGAAAAGCCTGCCCAAGCCCGGCCTGGGGCAGCCTTACATGGGGGGAAGGAGGGGGAGAGGGTAACCCCAAGTCCTGAGCACAGACCCCCCAGCCACTCCGGCAGGGCTCTGGCAAGACCGACCACTGGGCTCTGCGGCTGCAGCCCCTGGCCAGGCCTCGGGCCAGGGTAGAGCCTGCCGTGGGCTCAGACTCCCTGTCCAGTGGCTGTGGCCGCCGACACGGTCAGGGCGGTGCAGATGCTCTGAGGACCAGCTCGGGCCGTTCCGCTGTGAGCAGGAGCCCCAGGGCCGCCCTAGCGCCATGGGCCAGAGGCTACAGTCCCGCAGCTCCCAGTACCCCACCCCTGGCTGGAGCCAGGCCAGCTCCACCGCGGCCCTGGGCAGAGGCTGGACGTTGCAGCCCAAGGCTGTCCAGGGGGGCTCAGCGGCATTCACGATGCGTTCGGTGCGAATGCTCGTGCCCCCGCCCAGCCACACCACACCACACCACACAGGCACCTTGCTCAGGGGCCACGGGCACGCGGCGGAGCCCGGCTGCTGCCAGCAGCTTTGCTCTGCGCCTGCACCTGCACCTGCACCTTCCCAGGCCCGTTGCGCTCCCCTCGGCCCGGCCCGGTCCCGCACGCAGGGTCAGGCAGCAACCCGCAGGCACCCCCTGGCCCTAGGACAGGATCTGCATGGGCATCTCCTCCATCCCTGACCGGCTGCGCAGAGCCGGGCAGCCCCACGGCGCCGGCACCGCTGGGACGCCGCTCGCGGGCTCCATTTCCAAGTAATCGATACACACAAAAGCTGCTGACACACTCCTGGCTCCAGGGCTGGGTACAAATGCAGGCACCGGAGCCGGCATCTCCACCCCAGCCTGCTCCTCCCTGCCCCGCTGGGCTCCCGCCAGGCCAGGGCAGACCTGGAGGAGGCTAAACGCATGCATCACATGCGTCGGGTGCTCTGCCTTCCCCCCAAGTGCATCCAGCCCTAGGACCCGCACCCTGGCTCCCACCCCGGTCCCTGTGAGCTCGGCCAGCCCAGGAGACCAAGGGAGAGGCAGAGGCTGTGCTGAGGAGCCAGGCACAGGCATTCGCAGCCCTGGGCAGCAGCATGTGGCTCTGCAGCCTGCAATAAAACCCAGTGCCCCCTGCCCGCTCCCCTCTCCCTGGCAGCCCCACGGGTCTGTGAGGACCATGGGTCTGGGCGAGCGCGGCCGCTGCGGAGGATGCTCGCTGCCTGCAGCGGTGCATGCAATGCGTTCAGCGGACTTACCCAGCGAGAAGAGCAAGCTGAGCCCCGAGAGGCACAGGCAGGGCTGCAGGAGCCACGGTCCCCGGCCCATGGTCAGGGCCCCGTGCGTGGAGATGGCTGTGGGCCTGGGCTGGCAGGTGGAGGTGGTGGTGGGTTTGGTTTTTTCAAATGCACGGCTTTATTTCCAGGGCACATAGAAAATTAGAGCCGCTTTATTTCCAAAGCTCCAATATGGCCGGACCCAGCGCAGCTGCTATAAAAAAAAATGGTGAATTTTATGGTTGGTGGATTTCATCAAAGGAAGTGGGAGGGCAGAAACGTGTCTCCTGAAGGAGAGGACCGGCTCCCGCACCCCCGTGGCTCAGACCTGCCCCAGGAGCGCCCGCTGGCCCCTCACCCCTGTGACGGGCAGGGCCCCCTTGCTGCACAGCAGCGACCCCCGGGCTGGACGGAGCCCCTCGCCGTGGCCTCTGCGTGCGCCGGAGCGCCGGAGCTGCCGCCTGGCTGGACCTCGTGCACGGGGGGCCTTTCCCATGCTCCCAACACCACCCATTACCTCGGGTGGGCGACCCTGCCTGCCTGGGCCCTGCCCTGGAGCCTGGGGGAGGCGCAAGGGGCAGGGGGCTGCAGCCAGGCCCATGCTCAGGCTCCGCAGAGAGGCAGCTGACTCACCAGCTCTCCCCTGCCCAGCTGTGCACATCTGGGCACCCATAGGCCCTGCTTGCAGACCACTCCTGGGCGCTGGCCTTGGTGGGGCAGATGGTCCCCACCCTACCCTTCTTCTTCCAGAGGCCGAGCTCTAGCTCTAGCAAGTCTCGAGATGCCCGTGAGGCCTGCCCTTACTCACCGGGGCACGGGGAGGGGGCACCTGGCAGGCCATCCCCACTCCCAGCAGCAGCAGCCAGCTTCTGTCCCGCTCAGTGCCTGCCGTTTGCCCTGACGCTGGCAGCGCTCAGCACCGGCCTGGAGCAGGACAATGGCCAGGGGCTGAAGTCCTGCAGACAGGGGCAGCTCTGCCAGCCCCCGTGAGCAGACCCCATGACACTGGCCCCTGGCAGTCCTGGCACAGCCCATAGCTGAGCTGCTGCAAAGGCACTGTGGGCCCTGGGCTCCTTTGCCTCCTGGTGTTGGACTCCCCAGGACACACTCAGGCCAACCCGGGGGGGCGGGCAACTCTCCACCAAGGAGAGCTGAGCCTTTCTCGGAGTCACAGGACTCCAGGAGCTGGGGCTTTACAGGCCTTGCAATCGAACCATGGCGTCTGGGACTCACAGGGACGCAGCGCACACACGTGTGCCAGGCAGCTGGCCCTTGTGGGGCACGTGCAGTCGTCAGCTGTCGTCTGCACGCGATGCTCTTCCTCCTGCCCTGCACCACAGTCCAGGCCCCGCCGCTCCCTCTGCCCGCCCGGCCTGGGCCAGGAGCGCTGGGCAGCAGTAGAGCGCGGTACAGCCGGGACGTGAGACCGAGGCCCCAGGCACAGGCAGACGCGGGGGGCCGGGGCCGTGGGGAACACTCGCTGTGTGCCGGCTGGGCAGTCTCAGCCTGAGACGGGGCCCTCGGGCCTGGCCGGAGCACAGCCGTGCCTGCACCCCGCCGGGCCTCGGAGGTGGCAGCTCGCCCTGGGAGGCGGGTGCGGGACAGCCAGAGCCGGGACGTCTACCGGACGCCGACGTGCCAGGCGAAGCGCGTGTTAAGCGGGCGCACGACATGCGTGGTGCGAAGTCTCCCGGCTGCGGCGCCTGGGGCGGCCACGCGGCGCGGAGGGGACAGCTGCCCGTGGCGACTCGCGTCCGGTGCGTGAAATTTGCCTGCTCGCGGCTCAGCAGCGGGCGACGCTGCCTCTGTGAGAAAACCGAGTGGGGTGGCAACGTGAAACAACAGACTGCAGCGCCAGCCGCGAGCTGCATGCATCCGTGCGGAGGGTCCCCGCCAGGGCTGGGAGCTCTGCACCTGGAGGTGTCACACATCTATATATAGAGGCGGGGAGGCGCGCCCGGCCGGCTCCCGCCCGCAGCCGGGGCTCCCCGGGCAGCGCCTGCCCCGGTGCGGTCGCCCCAGCACCGGGCGTCTGCAAGGGGGGCCAGGGGTCGAGTGGTGCCAGGGCATCGTCAGGACCACCCCATCCCGTGCCCAGGGCGCTCTGGGCTCTCGCAGCAGGCAGATGGAGACGTGCCATGTGGGCGCCAGGGGCTGCACGGGGCACCTGCCCACGCGGCACGGAGGCTGCTGAGCTGCGCGCTAGGACGTGGGGCAGTTCCCCCCACACCGCGGCCCTGGAAAAGAAAACGCTAGCCAAGAGCAGGAAACCCCCTGGCTCCGCTCCGCTTGGCGCTTTATTGTCCAAACAGGATGCCGGCGCCTCGGCACGGCTCTCGCTGGCACGCGGCTAAGCCCCTGGGCCCAGAGGTGCCACAGCCGAGCTTGGGGCCGCGCCTACCACCACTGCCTGTCCGGGGGCACCACCGCGTGCCGGCTCGCTCCGGGCCGAGAACCAACCCAGAGCACGAGCCGTTCGCTTGAGGCCCAGCTGCGCTCCCTGTCCCACCAGGTCCCTGCGGCAGCCAGCAGGCCCCGGATGCCAGGCCAGGCGCCCAGCCCGCGCCGCATCCATTCTTAGGGGCATGTGGACATCGTGGTGAGTGCAGGGCCCCAATCCTGAGCAGGCCTCCAGGCACCATTGCAGTCCAAAGAGATCGGAGGAGCCCCGGGTCAGCACGTAGCAGGGTCCCTGTCCCCATGGGGCTGAGTGCCAGAGCTCACCCCTGCCCCAAGCCAATGTCCAGGGTGGCTTTGCCAGGGTGGGCCTCATCCCCAGCTTTCCTGCTTCCCTGGGCTTCACCCTCGCTTTGCAGTCCTTTCTGCCTCCACTCTGCCGGGATTGTCTTCCTCACCAAGTTGATGTAGGTGCTGTCATCCAGCAGCATGATGCCTGCGCTGGGGAGAGCAGCCACAGGATGCTGTGGGGACAGACAACAATGGGCAGAGCCGTCAGCCGCCATGGTGGGGCAGGGACTGGCCCCTGACTGTTCAAGGCGGGCAGCCGTGGGCTCTGACCACCTCCCAGCCAGGAGGGAGGCCTGGTGAGCAGCAGGATGAAATTCCACTTGTAGCTCTGCCACTGCGCACATCATAACCTTGGGCATGTCCCTTCATTGCTCCGCATCTCCTGCACACCTTTGTGACAGTCGGAAGGGGATGGCCCCCAGCCTGGAGAGAGCAGAGCACCATCCTGGTCATTGGTGCAGCTCCCAAAGGTGACGCTCGGCCTGCTCCCAAGGCTTTGGGCACACAGGCTGGCATGAGGATGAAGCCCAACCTGGCAACATGGGGGTATCTGCCTGCAAGGGGGAATGCGGGGCCATGGCCACACCTCAGCTGGCCCAGTGCAGCCCAGCAAGGCTGCTGGCCCACGAACGATGCCCTGTCCCGGGCAGCCCCCCGCCCCACTCCCATAGCAGCGTGCCCCATGCGGGTCTCACCATGGTGACGTAGGTTGCCTCGGCTTTGCCCCTCTGCTCGGCCTCGCACACAGCCTTGGGCATCCCCAGGCAGTGGATGGAGGAGTAGATGCTTTTCTGCGGGGAGAGCGGGGCAGGAATCAGGCTGGGGCAGCGGCTGTGACAGGCTTCCCCAGGCCCTGAGCTCCAGGGGCAGGGCAGGGTCCCCGGGCTCACATGGGTTGGCACCTTGGGGCACGTGGTAAAGGGCAACTGGGCAGCTCCCATCCAACCCCCCCGCCGGCAGCTTCTGCCCAGCTGGTGACGCACCCACCGTGCCGCTGGGCCCTCACCTCTGCTTTGCTCTTACTGCCGTCCTCCCAGCTCTTTGCAAGGGCCTTGGTCTCCACGGGCCTGGGGGCAACAGGAGCCGTGAGCCTGCAGGCCAGCGCTCCTTGCTGCCCCCACGCTGGCCTGGCCCAGCTCTGGCTGGATAGTGATGGAAAGGGGCCAGAAGCCCTCCCAGATCAGTGGAAGGACTCGTGCTCCCAGTGAGGGGCTCGCCCCCATGCCAGCCGCAGCCCCTGCAGCTGGCTGCACCCCAGGGCACTGCTGCACCTTGGGCATCGCGGGCACAGCTCCTGCCCTTGCCCGAGCCCCAAGACCTGGCTGGCAGGAGGCTCTGCGAGCCCAGAACCATCCTGCAGAAGCGGAGTGGGTCGGGCCGATTGGCACTAGAGGGCAGCACGAGACTGTGGGTGGTGCCCGCGCCACGGGAAGGCGGCTGGGTCCCAGCACTGATCCTGCCCTCCCTGGCCCAGCCGCTGGGGCACCGCGCTGGTACCTTCGTGTCCGGAGCGCCAGCCCGAGAGCCAGCAAGAGGGCGAGGGCCAGGCCAACAGCTGCACAGGCGTAGCCCACGGTGTTGCTGCCTCCTTCGCTGCCCCCGGCGCTCTCGGGGCCCACGGTCACCACAGCCCAGGAGCCTGGGGAGAGGCACAGAGGCAGAGCTGAGGGGCATCAGGAAACAGGGCCCTCCTCAGCCCTCCCCTCCCTGCCCCCAGACCCCGCTCTGGTCTCTATCTCCAGTGACAAGAGCCGTGGCCCAGCTCCCACGGGTCTGGGGCAGGCCAAGAGGAGGGGCGAGTGGACACCGCGGGGGCAGAGCGCGAGGGGGCAAGTGACCGGGGCGAGGGAGCCTGTGGGGCAGGGGCACGTACGGCTGCGTGCGGCGGGGACCACGTGCAGCGCCGTGCGGTTCTTGAAGATGCTGCTGTGCCCGGACACCCGGATCTCGCAGGTGTAGGTGCCACCATCACCTTCCTGCAGGTCCTGCAGCCCAATGGAGCCGTTGCCACGGGACACGTCCCCCAGCCACCGCACGCGCTCCCGGGCGCGCCCTGCCGGGATGCTGCGCCCGCTGTAGTAGTAGAAGACCACCGCCTCCTGCGCGGGGAAGAGGGGCACGGGCCCGTCACCCTGCTGCCCTGCCAAGCCCCCTGGCTCTCCGGGCTGCATCACGGGCTCCTCTGCATGCACCCGGGTGTGGCCCTGCCTGCCCACCCCCACGGCCCCAACCCTCTGCACGGGACGGGTGCCCCAGCAGCCCTTGGCCTCTCTGCTGATGGTCCCGATGCGGGGCCAGGGTGTGCTGGGGCTGCAGCCTGGGCTTCGGGCCCCTGGGGCAGGGGGCACTCGTCCCACCAAGGTCTCCAAACCATGCCGGAAAAAGGCAGGCTCCCACCCCGGCTGGGCTGGATCCTGCCCTGGCAGGGAGAGGAGCTTGCCCTCGTGCTCCCTTCCCAGCCCGCTGGGCCCCGTGCTGCTCTGTGCCGCGGCCTGGCTGCCCTCGCCGGGCGCTCTCCAGCCCCTGCCGCCTGCCATCACGCTCACCGACTCCGTGCTGTTTCTCGGCGTGTGCACCCAGTCCACCTTGGTCACTGTCCAGGCTCCGTCCCCTGGGACCAGGAGGAAACACTCCAGCAGGACTGAGGCCCCGACATGAGCCCGCAGCTCCGGGCAAGTGAGGACCCTGGGGTCCAGCGCCCCGCCACTCCCTGTGGGACACAGGCAAGGTGAGCCCAGACGGGAAGCCCCTCCCAAACCCAGCCAGGGCCTGCGCCGATGGGGCGGGTGGGACTAGCTCCCTCCAGCCAGAAGGGACAATCAGGGGCTTCGTGGCCAGGTGCACCTACACATGCACGTATGCACGGGGTGGCGGCAGCCTGCGGCCGCAGTCACTGCATGCCCCACGGAGCTGGGGCCTCGCCTCCCCGACTTTGTGCCACCTCTGAGGGAGCCGGGCCGGTCCCAGACCCCCAGTCCAGCCAGTGGGAGCCTCGGGGGGCAGCGGAGGCGAGGGACATTTCACAGGGCAAGGAGCCTTGCCACCAGCATGGGCCCATCCTCTGGCAGTGCCCACATGGAAACCTTGTCCTCCAGAACGAGGATCGGGCTCGAGGGCAAGGCCTGCTTCTCATGCAGTCCAGGCGGGCGTCCTGCTGTGGAGCCCTGAACCTCCCAGATAGGCGGCGGGGCCCCGGTTCCCTGCTCACCCAGTGCCACCAGCATCAGCACGAGAGCCAGGGAAGGACACATCCTACGAGGGAAGAGAAAGAGACCAGTTAGCACCAGCCGGTGGCCTCATGCTCTCCTGACACGGACCCCACTGCCTGGGCCGGGCCGAACCTGCCCCCAGATCCCTGTAGCTTTAGTCGGCCACGGGCCCACACCCTGCAGAGCTTCTGTCCGACGGCCCCTCCGCACAGGGCGTTCTCGCTGCATCCGAGGTGCCCTCACGAGCCACCTGGAAGCACGGAGTCCCACCGTACTTTGCCTCCCCCATCCTCCAGCTGCATCGCAGCCGTGCCCTGCTCTGCCAGGCCATACACGGGGGCTCTGGTCAGCGGGGCAGCTGGACAGCCCCCTCGCTCATGCCGACAGCGGCACAAATCCACCAGCTCCCGGCAGCATCAGAAGCTGGACATTTTAGGCAGAGGAAGCTGTAGAGAACAGACTGCCAAAACTCCCAGACCGGGGGAGCAGACTCGGAGTGGACACCCAGGCTGCAGGGCCTGGCCACAGCTTTCACTCCGTTCATTCTCATAAATGAAGAGGCTGTCATATAGATGTTTACACGGTCCGGTGGGTGGCAAATTGGCTCAGCGGTCGAACCCAGAGAGTGGTAATAGACGGGTCGGTATTGACCTGGAAGGGTAATTGTGTCCTGCAGGGTTCGGTCCTTGGACCTGAAGTCTGCAGTATCTTTATCAGTGACTTGGATGTGGGTATGAAGTGCACTCTGTCCAAGTCTGTGGACGATACTAAACGGTGGGGTGAAGTGCACTCTCTGGAGGGTAGGGAACATGCGGCAGGGCATGGGTGGTGCTGCCACTTTAAGAGCTGAGCCAAGCAGCCAGCAGGTGCTTGATTGCTGTGGCCATTTTAGATCCCGGGCTGCCTATATAAACAGGGCAGTTCCTTTCGGGCAGGCTAGGTAGCAATATTGCCTGGCTGCAAGCATGCTTGTATCCTTCTGGAGGTAAAGGAGGAGCTGTAGGGGATGGCTAGGATGTGCCTGGTCCTGGGCACGAACTACAACTGCACTCTGCTGGGAGCGGGTGGCCTGGTGGGGCTCCCAGTGGTGCAGGAGCCCTTAGGAAATGCCAGGCCAGTTACCAGCCTGGTGAAAGGTGGGCTGAGGCATCTTAACCCCACAACTGGGTGGATCACCTGCTAGTAGGGCCAGAAGGTAGACCCAAGAGCGAGAGTGGGGTAGAGGCTCAGAGGCCTGACTGAGAGTACCCTCGACTGGTCAATGCTGGGGCCAAGACCAGACCAGTCAAAAGGGCCAGGGGCCCACTGGAAGGGATGCCCAGAGCTGAGGGCCTGGGGCTTCTGAGTGGCCTTGGAGGTGAGGCCAGGGCCTGTGTGGCCAAAGGTAGCTAATGTGGCAAAACTGGTTAAAGTGGTCCCAATTTTCAAGAAAGGGAGGACACAGGTGACTATAGGCCTGTAAGCCTCACCTCAGTGCTCAGGAAGATCTTGGAGAGGATCATCAAGGACCACATCTGTCGGGGGCAGGGGAGATCATGCTCAGGGGCAATCAGCATGGGTTCATCAAAGGCAGGTCCTGCCTGACCAACCTGATGGCCTTTTACGACCAAGTACCTAAATCCTTGGATGATGGTGTCACTGTGGACGTAGTCTTTCTAGACTTGAAGAAGGCCTTTGACACCATCTCTCACCTCATCCTCATCAATAAATTAAGCCACTGTGGCATTGATGCCTGCACAGTTGGATGGATAAAAAAGTGGCTGATGGGGCGCACCCAGAGTGGTGGTTGACGGGTCGTACTCAACCTGGCGAGATGGGGGCAGTGGGGTCCCCCAGGGCTTGGTCCTCGGGCCCACACTGTCCAACATCTTCATCAGCAACTTGGATGAGGGGATGGAAAGCATGCTGTCCAAGTCTGCTGATGACACTAAGATGTGGGATGAGGTGGACACACTTGAAGGGAGAGAGGGTGCAAATAGATTTAGACAGACTACAGAAGTGGGCAGATGAAAATAGGATGGGGTTCAAGGTAGACATGCAGGGTGCTGCACCTTGGGAGAAGGAAGCCACAGCATACATACAAGCTGGGGAGCTCCCCTCTTGAAAGCAGAGGCGGAAAGGGTTCTTGGAGTTATTATTGACTCCAAGATGAGCACGAGTCGCCAATGCCAGACAGCAGCCAGCAAGGCCAGCCGTATCTTGTCGTGCATCCACAGGTGCATCTCAAGCTGGTCCAGAGAGGTGATCCTCCCCCTCTATGCGACTTTGGTCAAGCCACAGTTGGAGGACTGCATCCAGTACTGGATGCTGCACTCCAAGGGGGATGAGGGCAGCCTGGAGAGGGCTCAGAGGAGGGCCACCCGTTTGGTGAGAGGGCAGCAGGGCAGGTCCTATGAGGAGAGAGTGAGGGACCTGAACCTGTTCAGCCTCAGCAAGAGGAGGCTGAGGAGGGACCTGGTGGCTACCTACAAACTCATCCGGGGAGATCAACAGCAGATAGGCAGAGCCCTTTTCTCCCCAGCACCACCGGGGGTGATGAGGAGCAATGGTAATAAGCTGATGGAGAATAGGATTAGGCTGGAGATCAGGAGGCAATATTGTACAATTAGGGTGGCCACAATCTGGAACCAACTTCCCAGGGAAGTGGTCCTCGCCCCTACCTTGGACAAATTCAAGAGGAGTTTCGACAATCACCTGTCTGGGGTCTTGTGAACCCAGCATTCATTGCTGCCTGTGGTGGGGGTCAGGCAAGATGATCTGTTCAGGTCCCTCCTGACCCTAGCTACTATGAAACTATAAGGTCCTGGGAAACCATGCCCGAGAGGGGAAATGGTTCAGGGAGCTAGGTGGCCCTGAATGAGGGCAGGGTAGGTCGCCTGAGTGGAGGGATCCAGTTGGGGTCCAAACTGGATGATTCTGGGGCCCAGTGTAGGCCAGTGAGACCAACATTTGTGGATGGCATCTGTGAAGCATGGGCTGCGGTGTAGGGGAGGAACGGAGCCACAGATCGCGCCCCCTGGCATGGGGGAAAGAAAATGGGCAGCCTCCCACCTAACTAAGATCGTTAATTAACAACAAGGTGGGCGGCTGGCCCAGAAACAGGTGGGTGTGGCCATTGGCTGATGGGCCCTGAGAAGGTCCCCTTGGGGTTACAGAACGATTGCAGGCAGACCTGGACAGGTTACGGAAGTGGGCAGTACGCGACAGAATGCAGTACAACACGGACAAGAGCAGAGTGCTGCACCTAGGGTGCAAAAATATCCAGCACACCGACTGGCTGGGAAGTGACCCTCTCCGCAACACAGAAGCAGAAAGGGACTCCAAGATGAACAGGAGTCATCAGTGTGATGAAATCATCGGCAAAGCTAACTGCAGCTTATCGTGCATCAGCAGACGCATGACAAATAGATCCAAGGAGGTGATACTTCCCCTCTGTGGCACTGGTCAGACCGCAGTTGGAGTACTGTGTCCAGTTTCAGGCGCCGCACTTCTAGAAAGGATTTCTATGGACTCAAGGGTCCAGAGGAGGCCACTCGTATGGTCAGGTACTTACAGGACAAGCCCTACAAGGAGAGACTGAGTGACCTGGACCTCTTCAGCCTCTGCAAGAGACAGCTGAGAAGTGATCCTGTGGCTGCCTACAAATTCATTGTGGGGCATGCAGCAAGGGATCGGAGATGCGCTGTTCACCAGGGCGCCTCTTGGGGTAACAAGGAACAATGGTCACAAACTGACAGAGCGGATTCAGGCTAGACATCAGGAAAAACCTTCAGGGTAAAGGTGGCCAAAATTTGGAATGGGCTTCCAGGGGAGGTGGTGCTCTCCCTACCTTGGGGGTCTTTCAGAGAAGGCTAGATAGGCGTTTGGCTGGGGTCATCTGACCCAGCGCTCTTTCCTGCCCAGGGCAGGGGTTGGACTCGATGATCTGTTTAAGTCCCTTCAGACCTGAGGGGCTATGAATCATTTAAGGAACTCTCCCCAGGGGTGGGGCCCTGGGCTCCTCCAGGGGCCAGAGAGGCTATTCTGGGTTCTGGCACCAAAGGCCACTGGCACTAGGCTGTTTGGCCGCTGATATGAGCAATCCAGACGTTTTGTCCTTCGATTCACTTCCAAGGAGAGGGTTGGAAAAGCCCAATATTCCCCGGATAAGGTCAGACTGGATGGCAACAGCATCAGTCCCTAACAACCTGGACTGGATCTGAACCACTGCCAACGTCTGTAGACGGCACTGATCTCTACAGAAAACATAGCAAGGTGTTTCCAGCACTTGGGGTCCAGGCAAGACATGGGCATAAAATAACCTGCCTTCTGGTGCCCTCCTTGTATTTGTGCAGTCAGAGCCCTGACTCCTCAAGGATGCTGATCAAAGATGTCCAGAGCCTACCCGCTGCGTTTCTGCCCTGAGGGGTCCATCTCCCCTGATGCACGCACTGCAAGGCTGCTCCAAACACAGCCATACACACATGGCTGCAAAACCTTTGACTGTAGCCGTTCCAAGCACTGCAGGGAGAGCCCCCAGGCTTGCTGGGCTCTTCATTCCCGTCCATGTGGACAGATGCCCAGGTGTCCTGGCAACTGTGAGCAAAGGGTCAAAAGAGCAACTCCATTTGGGCTCCTAAATAGGGGTTAGATTGCAGCAGTGTTTGGCACTCCGCGGCTCCCACCTGGACAGCTGAGATCTGGTACCTGCAAACATTCCCATGCTGACCTGTGTGCAGAATCGCCCCCACACCCTCCCTGTTTCTCATTTTCTTCCTTGCACTCCCCTAGCCCTGGCTTTGCCTGTGGGGCTACCCAGGGACTTTCCTAATAACTTGCTGATAGCAGGAGCAAGGCCAGCTCAGCAGGGCTCCATTAAAGATGACCGAGATACCGCGTCCCTGTCAGGACAAAGAGCATCTACTTAGTGGACGTACAAAGAAGTACAGTAAAACCAATGGCTCCCTCTGTTCTCTCACGATTGCACCTTGGGGCTTTCTGCCAAAGGCAGGGGGGAGCCTGAGCTCGGGCACATGGATGGTTCCTGGGTCTGTCCTCAGAAAGACTGCTGAGAGGTTATTCACACAACACTCACCCACAGCGGCTTGGAGCAGACTCCCTCTTGCCTGCAGAAAGGGCTCTCCTGGGACCAATTCAGAAACCTACTGAAGCTCTAGATGAACCAGGTGCTGAATCTGCTTCAGGTTGCACTTGCCAGATATTCAAACTGAGCAGCTCAGATTCCTCTGAGTCTCTGTCATGCATGGGGAAGACTTTTATTGTGAGAGGGGGAGGAGTGCAAAAAGGGAAACAGAAGTTAGTGCAATGGAAGCAGAGAACATGCGGTGGAAGTGCTAGACAGCCGCACGCATACTTCAGAGGTGGGGGTACACCTAGCGCTCGGCTTCAGAGCCGTGAGCTCACAGGATGTAGGGTAGCTCCAAGCCTCTGAGTCCTCGAGTTGGCCTAGATCTTGCTGCTGTGCGTGCCCTAAATGGGGCTATGTGTTGGGTCTCATGCCACTGGCTGCTTCCTGCTTAGAGGCCAGAGCCTGAGGCTGGCTGGCGTGAACACAGGCTGCCTTGTGCTCGCAGTTCCCTTCTGCACCTCACCCCACAGCTTCAGCTGCAGATGTCTGGCTTCGCCGTTTCCCTGATGCTGGTCCCGCGGCAGCTGCCGCATTGCATCCCCAGACAGCTAGCAAAGCAGCTGGCTCTGCATGCTAGTGTGACCAAAAGCGGGATCGAGCCTCTGGCCTGCAAAGCGCTTTAGGTTCAGTTGCAAAGGAGAACTCTGCAGTGATGCACAGCTATGCGTTTCACCACAGCTCTGAGCAGACAGCTCCTGCAACCATTTCCCTCTAGCCTGACAGGAAAGTCTGCCACTGTCCCTTCCCCATGTGGTTTCTAGTTTAGCTAGCCACAGCAAAACTGGGGAATGCAAACTTCTAAAGCATTCTGTGGTAGAAGGTGAAAACATCATGGCCTTGACTGGACCAGCTTTAGTTATCCTGCCCACATAGGAGCTAGACACCTGCCAGGCAGAGCTTGGAACTAGACAGCCCAGCCCTCCAGGAGCATCAGCTCGTGCCCCATTAATATGTAGCTAGGCCTGGACTGAACTGGACTGAGGCACTCAGAGTTGCTGGCCATCACCCCTCTGGCCATCCTCTTCAGGGCTGGAAATCCCCCAAGCTCTTCTTGCAACTCCACCATGTGTCTGTGCATTTCTAGCCAGTAAAGAGAATGGCAGCCTGGCATGGGAAAGTGATTTATTGACAAGGCAAGCCTCAGGCAGCAGTAAGCTTGCCTGGCATCGGTACAAGAGAGACCCTCCAGCTAACACCATGCACTGAAAGCAAGGGTGAGAACGGCAGCACAGGCACTAGGCCAGATGCAGACCCCTGCTCCCATCCTCTTCCCCAGACACGGGAACAGCTAACGAGAGAGAAGACTCTTCTTCTAGCAGACACTGGAGCAGCAGTGACGTGTCCAGCTCTCTGGTACTTTATTGGCCTCACAAACACTGGCACACAGAAATGGAGAATCAGTGCTTGGCACAGCAGGGATTGACAGAATCCCGTTTCTCCTTCGTACATCAGGGTGTAGCAACAAGCTTAGGGCTTGAGGGGACTAAGGCACTTCCACAGGGGCCCAGGCAACAGCAAGTAACACCAGCTCCATCCAGCTACTCAAATTTAACGAGATGGGGACCCCTTCGCATGACTACTGCTACGTGAAGGCGATCATCAGGTTGTAAGGTTTCCAGGCACCCAAGGACAAGTCTAGCTCAAACAGCAAAGGGCTGGGCCAGACCCAGTTCCAGTCCCCAGCCACCTCCACAGCAACACTCCCACAGATGCACACAGAAGCAGGGCCTAAGACTTCTACAGGCAACACAGAGATGCTCCCCAGCCCTGGGTGGTAGGAATCCCACACAGGTCCCCACAGGTGGAAGCTGTGGACAGGGGCTTTGCAGTCAGGAGGAAAGGAGGACAGCGGTAGGTGTTGCAGAGCCCGTTCTGAAGGAACTGAGGAAGCTCTGCCAACTCACAAGCAATGCCACTCCTTGCTCTGCCTTGTCATCTGACCCCAGCACTCTTTCCTGCCCAGGGCAGGGGGTCAGACTCGCTGATCTGTTGTGGTCCCTTCCAACCCTAGCATCTATGATCTGTTCAGTGCAGACACGGGCTTGTCACCAAAGCAGTCTGAGGCAGTTTGCCAAGTCAGTGGCACCAAGGAAGAGGGAACACCCAGAGGACTTGCACCTTCCCCTGCCCTTTGGAATCTCCTAGCCCCATCCTGTCCCGACCCCGCCCTCTGCACTTGGCTGACATGCTGTCCACCTTGCTCTGCGGCTTCCCAGCCTGTCTGTGGCTCCCCTGGCCTTCTGAAGTCTCACAAGACACAGCAGAAACTCCCTGGCTGCCCAAGGTGAATGCAACAGAGGCTTTTCACTTGGAGGACCAGGACATCTCTGCATTAACCCAGCCACCTTCAGGAACACTGAACCACTGAGGGCTGCTTCTGCCCTGCCATGTACAAGGCCTATTGAGGAGACCTTGCTGGGCTCCCTCAGGGTCTGAGCCTACAAGGAACAGGGCAGGAGGTGGGTTGTTTTCTTTACAGGAGAACCTCAACTCAGCTTCCTTTGTACATTGCTCTGAGCCAACAGCCAGGACAGAGAGGGGGCAGAGGTCTTCCCACCTTCCCCTGTTAGAGGGAAACAGTTACAAATTAAACCCCCATTATTAAACACGTAGCTTTGGTCAAAGCACATAGGTATCTAGCACTGCTGATGCTGGACACTGACGACTCAAACCAAAGAGTGCCAGGATGATCACAATGCAGACAGCAGCTTTCTACAAGCTCAAGCTGAGAAGATGGGAGAGACAAGATGGTAACCCTGTAATTATGGATCTGCTACCAGGAAGCGATGACAAAACAGCAAACTCTCATCATTCCAAGCCCAAACATGCCCTCTGCACCTACTCTGCAGTCATCAGCTGGTGGAAGGCTTCAGCCAAGATGCACCACTGGAAACAGAAGCATCATAGGGGAGGGTGAGTAAATGTGAAACCACCTAGACTTGAGTTGTCCAACTGCTAGCAGCAAACAACTAGCTTTGCTGCAGGTACTGCAGTTTCTCGGTCGAGTTACATTTCAGGTTTATCTGCCTCAGATAAAGGAAGTGGGTTGGTTTTAACATACAACACGCTCACTTTTGCAATAAATAAAGATGTTTAAAATCATAATTTCTATCATTCAATAAAAATTGATTCTTCTATCTCAGCATCATTCTCCCAATTCTCCAGGATAAGAGAGACAGCTTCATCCTGCACTGAGTCTCCATGGATCTTTGGGACTTTCTGGATAGAACTTTTCAATGCTGCAATTTCTCCTTTCACCTGGGGCTTTGGCCATTCAGTATGGGTCTTCATCATCAGAGTCCTGAACAGGAAACACAAAGGGAGATTAGACACAAAACAAAAATATGATTTCAACAGAAACTTAGGTTGGGCAGATTCAGACGCGATTAGGTGTTTCTGAGAAGATGCTGGTGAAAGCCAACATCCCTGCAAAAGCCTCAGGACTAATGACTGACCGACGTGGTGAAGGACCCAGCTGCAGACACCAAGAAGTTGAGCTCTTGGTACTGCGAGAAGGTGAAGCGGAGAAACAGCAAGCACTTGTTGCACCCACCCGCATCCAAGACAGGCAGTCCAAGTTCCTAGAGAACTGACCCAGAGAAACTATTTCCTCCCTCCAGGAGCCCTACACAAGCCCTGCGAAGCACCGTGCCAGATGGGTGAGAGGAAAGCACGCATGCTTAGGCTGCATGTTACCAGGTTTGCAGAAAGCCATACCGCACTTTAAATCTGCTCTTCAGCTTCAGTCCTAACAGCAGAACGCTTTCAGATCCCTTCTGCCAACCACAGGTCTTCTGCTTTCGTTTTCCACTTCCCCTCAACACCGGCCCCCCTGGCTGTGCCTTGCTCGCACGCACATATGCAAATACCTCCCCGGAGCCCTCATCCCAATTCAGAAACCAAGTCCAAACAGCTTCCTTGGACTACCTGGTTTTGCAATTTCAGATCTTCTCTGATGTGTTAACAGCAACACAAATCAGACAAGGAAATGCTTTAGGGGAGAAGCATTGTGGGACGGAAAGACGAGCACGAACACCCAGAGAAACACTCAAAGCCAACAGGATTACATAACTCAGCCTGGCATTTACTGCAGGGCCAAGGAGGCATGCTAGCCCTGCTTCTACCTCTGATCTGGCCTTGCTCAGTTCCTGGTCCAGTAGCCTCCCACCTGTTCCTCTGCATAGTCACACCACTACCAGCAAGACTGCCTTTCTGGCCCCTGAGCACTGAGGGTACCATAACAGAGCCACCACAGGATTTGCAGGTTGGCGATGAGGTAGTGAGTGGACATGATTTTAAGACAGAAAGACCAGAACTACAAAAACAAGGGAATCTCTGGGCAGGTGGGGACCATGCTGCCCCCAGCTCTGCAGGGGCTTGCAACCTGTGCAAGAACATCAGGTGGATTTAAACGTCCCTATTTCTGTGCTGCCAAACCCTGGCTGAACTGCACCCAGGATGAGGAAATCCCTGTGGCCCATGCATGGACAACACTGCTCTGGAGTTCTGGATCTTCATCTCCCAGGAACACAGTATTTTCTGCGGTTTCTACCCAACAAAGCCCAGATATGAAGTGCACTGAAGAGCATCATCCCAGAGTCCACAGGTTCTACCCCTGGCTCCCCTACAGAAAAACACTTGGAAAAATGGTATGTTCACTTACCACACACTGCAGGCACCATATCTCCAGCCTTCTCATGCAGCCATCTCTCTCGCTATGTTCAGGCCTGCAGAAAGAGCATAACAGCAAGTCAGCACGTCTATATTCACATTTGCAGACAGCCAGGAGACTCTGCTTCTATCAGATCCAACACGCGGGCTCTCCCTTCACACCTCTGACTACATTGTTGTAAACACCATTTCAGGAATGAAGCTTGGGCTAGCAAGCGGGAAAACCAATGCAAATGGCTCCTCATTTCAAAGCCTGGCACTTGACTAGTTTGTCATGTCTTTTTACCACTTGACCTCCTACACAAAATTGCTGTTTGGTCAGAAAGTTTCGACAGCCATTAGTTAAAATACTGTATGTAAAACATTGCATGAATGTAATGTTGGCTCATCAGTGCTGCAGGTCAAACTGCTGGGTGTTGCACTGGAATAGGCAGTCCCTGGTAACAGCTTATTACCATAACTTCATCACAACCATGGCCAGAGAGGAATCGCATGCATTTCACTTTGCTCCACTCCTACCTGGCATTAGCAGGGACTCTTACTACCCACCCACAGAGTCTCACTGGTTGAATCTTGGACCCTGTGGGTTATAAAACAGGGGGGACCAGCAAAATGCATACCTACGATTGTAAGCCAGAGAGAAACTATAGGCTGTAGGGTACAGGCAGAACTTACTCATCAGACACTTCAATAGAGGATTTTTTATAGCCAGATTTTTTTCTACTCTTTAGCAACCCAAACTTCCTTCCCATCCTCACTAGCAGCAGAATCACCACAATGACCGACGGGACAAACACTAGGATGGACAGCAACATTGCTGATGTCAACTGGAAAGACAGGCCTGCAAGAGAGAAGAAAAGCAGAGCACATACAAGAGGTGAATGTGACTTTGTTTGCTGTCTAAGGAAGCAATAATCCCTATACAGTCAGCTGGCCCTTGTAACAAAATGCCCAGAGCTTGCAATGGTCCTGCAGGGAACTCAGTTCAGAAGCAGATCTGAGGCTTTCAGTGCCTATTTGAATGAAAAGCAGTGAAATGGGGGGGTCAAGTCAAACCTGTGGGTGTACCCCATCTTCAGGGCCAGGGACACGGCTCTCATGCAGGAAAGAGGAGGCCCCTGCCCTAGGCAGCTAATAGCTCACGTCAGAGCTTCGTTAATGTTTGTGGAGCCTGAAATTATCCTTAAGACAACAGTGATCAGCAATTCACCTTAATGGGTCCTAACCCTGCAAGATTTTGGGACTGGAACTTGCAGACTCCCAGGTGCATGCCGATGGGTGCTAGTCACTGGTGCCTGGAGTCTTACCCCTCTCCGTGACTGTCAGCACTGTCCAGGGAATGTTGTGGTGCACGTCCGGAGGGTTCTTCACAGCGCAGGAGAACGTCCCATTGTCGCTCAGCGTTGGGTTTTGGATGGTGATGGAAGCATCACCCTTGGCAACGTCCCCGACCCAGGAAATCCTGCCTTTGAATGTCCCCATTTCAGTTGGGTATGGAACAGACTGATAATGAAAAATCTAAGGAGGAAAAGGAGCAATTGCTCAGATAGGTGTCTCCAGAAAGGAGAGAAAAACGCCTCTTGGAGAGCAACAAAGACCAGGAGCAAATATCAAGAGTCAAAATCACATCCCCTGAGTAGAAGACCCAGCTGGGCTCACAGGCCCACACCAGGCAGCGTAGCACCAGCTTTCCATGGGGTTTTTTTTTGGTTTTCTTTTTTGCTAAGGGATGGAGGTGTGTGTCACCACCTTCCACATCCCCTTTGCGCACCGGCCTCCAGGGCACCTGTGTTTTCAGCAGCCTTCTGGCCAATGAACATCTAAGGCAGAAGAGGGTGCTAGCAACTAGTGTGCTACCCTGGAACCCAGGAGACCAGGACTAAAGCCCCCGATCCACAACCAACTCCCCGTACAGCTGTGAGCAAGTTACTTTGACTTGCCATTCCCGTGTCGGGCAGGAGTACGACTCCCTCCCAGCCTTGCAGAGACACTGGAGAACAAGAGACTGAGACACACGGCTGCTCCAATCATGGGGAGCCATACGAGCACCGGCTGACATCTTCCCAAGACAATCACAGTCCTTCAAGGTGTCAGACAAGTGTCACTGGGGCTCCGCCCCATTCCTGCCCTGGGCACAGCACACACCTGCCACAGCCTCCCGGCTACAAGCAGCGTGGAAGCCTGTCTCATACACAAAGAACGTGGGTTTCCTTGCGTCTTTATCTTGAGTGACAGCTTTACAACAGGACTTGAAAAGCAGGCAGCAGTGCCAGGATTTCATAACACTGTCAACAATCACGGGTAAGGGCCCGTAAATCTATAGGGACCATCTGTTGTTGTCAGTGTCTGCCGCCTGCCACGGCGCGCGCACTGCCGTCGCCCCAGCGCCCACGGCCGGGGGCCATGCCTGGCGGGGGGGTCCAGCCCACGGCACAGGCGGCGCTTTCCGTGTGTGCCTGGGTTGCAGAGCAGCGCCCGCGTCTCGCAGCAAGTCCCTGGCGGTGCCATTGCCCAGCGGGTCTCTCCGCATCCCCCTGTCTGCGCAGAGCGCTGGCAGCTCCGGCGCCCGCAGGCACTTACCGTCTCGAGGCCACTGCCCGCCTGGGGCCGGTAAGTCCAGTCCACCGTCAGCTTCTCGGTGGGGGGCGCGGAGGAGCGGAAGGTGCAGCTCAGCACCACGTCCTCGCCCAGGAAGGCGCGCACCTCGGGGCTGGCTCGGATGTCCATGGGCGCCACGCTGCACACACCTGCGGGCGGGGCGGGGCGGGGCGGGGCGGGGGGTCGCAGGTGAGGGCATCGGCCT